AAAGTGTTTGGTAAATTAGCTGTTTGGTATAATTTGTTTTCTGAAAAAGCTAATTGAAAAAGTTGCTTGGAGTAGCTTTTTGAATTTTAGCATTTTGGAGTTGCAAAAAGCTAATTAACCAAACATTTATATTGATATTTTAACTAAATCAAACAATTAATAGTGATCAAATAAGCCAAAATTGACCTATAGGCCAATTGTTACCAAACAGGGCCATTATTTATGTTGCTTGTGCACCAAAAGTTTGTGTGCTAATATGAGTAAGTCGCTTTGGGTCTTTCCAATGTAGGTCATTTGACTACCAGGAGCGATGTGTATAGTTTTGGAGTTGTTCTTCTTGAAATGCTATCAGGTCGAAGAGCAATCGACAAGAATAGACCATCGGGAGAACACAACCTGGTAGAATGGGCTAAACCGTACTTGGCTATCAAACGTAAAGTCCACCGAGTTGTGGATAACCGTCTTGAAGGGCAGTATTCACTGGATGTCGCCCAGAAAGTAGCTTTTATTGCCTTGCGGTGCCTATCCACCGATGCTAGGATTAGGCCTACCATGGACGACGTGGTTAGAGAACTGGAGAAGCTTAACGAGACTCGGGATATGGAAAACACCACCGGCAAGCCCACTGGCAATGGTTCTAGACTTCGCAGACGAAGTACTGGTGATGCTGCCCGTTTAAACTCGCAAGTTTCATTTCCAAAACAATCTGCTTCTTCCCTCTTGCCAAACATGTCGCTGAAAACATCTGCTTGAGATCGATTTTCTGACTATACGATATGCACAATGTTGAAGATGAACCCTCCATTGATGAAAGAACTAACAGGTTAAGAATTACTTCTATCAGATTTAAGTCCTGTAAATAGAATAATAGACTTTACAGATCAGTTAGAGTGTAATGTATCTATCAGATATGGGATCTCTCTCTTTTTGCCTCAATTTCACACACTTGAAAAGAGCATTTGTGCACGGGTGGATGTTGAATGGGCAAGTTGAAAGACTTTTAGATGATTCATGAGACAAATCATGTGTGTGCTAGATTTGAAAAATGAAAAGGAATCATAACAATATCAGTATATGAGTATATCACATCAACAACTTGTATGGGATACTTCTTTTGAACCAAAAACATGTGTGGATACTTAAAGTTGTTCTTTTAATGTTTTCCCGTCAAATGCTTGGCATCTTTTCACCCAAAACCAACTCTGCATCACATCTTTCTTGTTTAATTTATTTGCATGAGTAATAATCAAATGGAACCACTTCTTTCCGTGAGATCTTTTGCAAATGCACACAAGTTACTATGCAAATGAAAATGGACTAGATTGTATGCAATTTGTCTAACATAAATGCACACAGTCTATCTTGTGTGTATTTACGAAGGGTCTCACAGGACTCACGGGAACAGGTAGATGCACTTGAACATTAGCCTTAGTGGTATAAAGCATCTTTTGTCTTGTAAGTGGGGGAAATGTTTTTTTTTTTTTTCTTTTTTTTTTTTGAAGAGAAATGATTAATGCATTAAATCACGAATAAGATGTGTTACAAGAAAAGGAGGTGGGACATCAAACTACTCTCCACAACCTGCAGTAGAACTTGCCTTTCTAGCTAACGTGTGAGCGGCACAGTTCGCAGATCGTTTAACAAAACAGAATCTAACATCATCTATCATTGATGCCAATTTTTTAACATCATCAACTAGCAGTCCGAAAGTAGAATCAAAAGAAGTTGCTTGAAGAGAAAAATAAACAATATGTGAGTCCATCTCCACATCCACACTACCCATACCTGTGTCTTTCAGCCAACTCAGTGCCTCTCTCAAGCATATTGTCTCAGCCTCATTGACCGTAAAAGTTCCTTCCAGGTTCACACTCTTCGCAGCTAAAAAAGAGCCTGTATGATCTCGTAACACCCACCCCAACCCCATAGAATTGGAGTCCGGTAGTACGGAAGCATCCGTGTTCAGCTTGAGGCGCCCTGCTTCGGGCCGTTTCCACCCTTCACTCCCTGCCGAAGGGTGGCCTGTTTGGTCATGTGTATTTACTTTCATCCAACTAGTCCAGAAACTGAGTGCACGGTGCACCACCATCTCCACATTAAAAGCAACACTTGTAAGTTGTAACACCCCTAAATTTCAAGATATTTAAAACTTATAAAATAAAGGCGAAATCATTTATTGAATCCCAAATAGAGTATAAAACTATCCATAAGAGTCGGGGTGCTATGCCACACTTAGGTTTGAGAACCTAGGTGCACAGGCTAAACTAACCAAGCATAAGAAGTCCTCAAATCAATATTCAATACAATCCCAAGGTACGCAGACCAATTACTGAGCTAAGACTAACTAAGCTAAGTCCAAGGCTCTGACTAGCGCGCTCCGAAGCTAAACCTCATCACCTGAAAAACATTCGGTATAACAACCGTCAGCGAATAATGTTGGTAACCCACTCCAACGCGTTAAGTACAATATAAGTAGATATAAGAAACTCATTTTGAAACTGGAATACATATGTACTTATGAGACTCTAGTTTAAATCCAAGATCAAGACTCAATGCATAATAACAGACTCAATATCATAGAATAATCATGAGAACTGATAGGCATCCTACACATGCAATGCAAGTCATAACAGACAGATAAGCATGCAAATAACTAAGGCATTCAATACAACTAATTAGCACATAGTCAACAAAGCACACAATTTATCCTCCAACCTTATACCAAGTTCCAACCTTGTAGCTCCCCTCCGTCCTTATATCAGTTCCAACCTATACCTCCAGGCCACCCTTATATCCCCACCTCTTATGCCTCCGGGCAACTACATGCCCCCACCGACGAACCCACCTTTCAACCACCAACATATCAAGATGGTGCCGCAGTGCCATTCAATGATCCGCACCTCTAGTGCCAATATCAAGGGGTTAGCGCATATAGCTCTAACATGACACCGCAACACTTATAACCTGACCCATGCCTAAAGCAAGCAAGTCGAAGGTGGGTGTGTGCCTTTAGCACAGTCACCGCTATGGCCTGTACCTTTAGTACAATGACCGGGCACAAGTGGTGCCAACCGCCAACAGTTTATTTTCCACCAATCACAATCTCATCAACATCATCATCATCATCAGTCACACTGGTCATTGCGCAGTGACCACAATACTCATCATCATCCAATCAATCAACACATAATCATAGAATAAGCAAGACACAACAACAATGACACGTATCACACATAAAATCATAGAACGATGCCTAAAACACCAAACGAGACTCATACACGACAAACGGGGTACAACGGGACACGGGGAAGCATCAAATGGGGAAAACACCACAAACCACGCCGGGATTCCAGCGGGTAGGTGGCAGGTGGAGGATCACCCGCCAGCCATCCGCCGGCGGCCGGTTACTATTCCAGCGGGTGGACCGCCCGCCGGCTGCCCGCTGGAACAGTATTCCAGGAAGCGGGTAGGTGGCGGGTGGTCAGTCCCCCCACCAACCCCCCACTGATACACAGGTAACTTTATGGTCCCTGGATCCCTCGTGGAACCCGAAACCATGTCTAAACACATTTAAACGCATAACGACAACACCACGTATTCAATTAACGGAATTAAACCAAGAATTACACCAAATACACCCTAACACGATTCCTAAACATGCCAAGACTCAACACAAATCACATAACGATCCAGGGACATCTGGAATCACAAGAACATCAAGAAATCTATATGCAAAGTCCTAAACACAAGTCCTAGGCTAGACTCAACACCCGATCATGCAAAATCCCACCCAAACATACCAAGAATAACATAATACGAAATCCACGTTATAACCCTAGGGCTCTAGACATAATCAAAATACAAGATCGTTCATATAATTAATCATAGTATCAAGAACATCAAGATTATCACATAAGCATCAAGATCAACACATAAACATCAAGATTATCACATAAACACAATACAAACCCTAGGCAAAACTCTATCAAGACTCAAGCACAGAATCATATATCAAAGGAGCCAATGAATAAGATATAACGAGGAAAATAGGTTTGGTTGAGACATGGGTTACCTCTTATCCTTAATCAATACCCTTGGCTACTAAGGTTCTTTCTCTAAGATCTTCTTTCCGTGGATTCTCCTACGTTTGATGGCAGGGCGATTCCTTTGTAGGTTTCTCTCTGGGAATATCTTGTGTGGTAGACTTAACTGTGGTAGGGTTTCTAAATACTTCCTAAGTCCCTATATATAGATTTAGGAGTCCCATCTAGGGTCTAAATAGTAAGGGTCCACTTATCCTATTTCTTATAGGATTAAGGATTTGGTTTAAGGATAGGGTCCATGATCCACGGTGGGCCACATCAATTAATTAAAGGGAATCCTAACCAAATTAAATCCTTTCAAATTATTATTAATGGAATCAATTAAATAATTAATTCGGGGTTAGAGGCCGTAACACGGGGTGTTACCACATTGTTCCAAACACTTTCATTACGGCTTTGCCACAAACCCCAACAGACCATAACAAACTTTGGTACTAGATTACCATGCAAATGAGACAATAAAGCAAAGAACCAATCAACAACATTACCATGTGGTACCCCCACGGTCGGCACACCCGCGTGAGTCCAGGCACAAGCTGCTACACCGCATTCCACAAACAAATGATAAGCACTCTCGAGCACCCTCCTGCACATATGACACATCAAAGCGCAGTGAATATTCTTTGCTTGTAGAGCATCATTAGTAGGCAAAAAAGAAGAAGCCAACTGCCAGCAAAAGTGCTTCACCTTTGGCGGTACTTGTAAATTCCATATCCGAGACCACGGCCGCACATCTAGCAACTCGCTCTTCAACCGTTTATAACTTGACTTAACAGTATACTCACCCCTCGCTTCTCAATACCAGTACCACGAATCTCTTGTCCTTCGTAAAGAGATTGGAATGTTCAGAATCAAGCTGGCATCTCGGGCATTAAAAATAGTCCGAACCCGCTCCACATCCTATCCTGTATTTTGAGCATCAAACAAAGAATGCACCGGTGAGTTAAAAATCCCTTCATCTACTGGTGATGTGATGAAAGGCTCATCCTCACATGCCAACCATGCATGCTTACCAATCACTGTGTCGTGGCCATTTCCAATACTCCGCCTACACCCGTCCCGGATCACTCGTTGAACCTCAAGCAAACCCCTCCAAATAAAGGATGAATTGCTCCCTGCAACCGCTTCATCATAGGTGCAATTAGGATAATACCGCGCTTTGTAAACCCGCGCCACCATTGAGTTCGGCCTCGTTACCAGCCTCCATGCCTGTTTCCCCAGTAGTGCCAAATTAGTTTCATGCAGGGAATGGAAACCCATTCCCCCAACTGTTTTTGGGGCTGTTAAACCTTGCCAAGATCTCCACCGTATACCCTTGCCACTTCCCACAGTTCCTGTCCACCAATACTCTTTCATCAAAGTCTCAATATCCCTACAGGTTCCTTGCGGCAACAGGAAAACCATCATCGCATAGCTCGGCAATGCCTGAATGACATTCTTAAGAAGCACCTCCCTCCCAGCCCTTGACAAGAACCTTGCATTCCAAGTTCTTACCTTGGCTAGAATCATGTCCTTTAGAAAACCCAGAATCTGTTTTTTCCTCCGACCCACTATTGATGGCAAACCAAGGTACTTCCCCACTGTATCCCAGTGGGGGGAAATGTTTTATTAGGCTAAAATAAGTTTAATTTCAACCTATTCAAACTTTTTAATAGAGTTAATGGCATTTGGGTCCTCTGATTATAGTGATTTTGTCACTTTTAGTCATAAACTTTCAAGTTAACTATCCATGTTCCTTCAACTTTCAAGTTAACCACCCTTGATTATTCAACCTTCAAATCTTAACCATCCATGATCTTTCAACTTTCAAATTTTGACTAGTCGTGGTCCTTTTGAAAGGACAACTTTGCCCTTACTTTACTTCTGAAAGGACCATAACTAGTTAAAATTTGAAAGTTGAAGAACCATAGGAGGTTTACTTGAAAGTTTTGGACTAAACGTAGCAAAATCACTCTACTCAGACGACCTAGATGACATTAACTCGTTTTTAATATTATATTTGTTTGGGTCTGGTCAATTTTTATAAAAAAAAAAATTGTATATAAACCTTAACAATGCGTCATGGTTGAAAAAATCGCTAAGCGCTTGGGGAGCGCCTAGGCGGCGATTAATCAGCGCCTAGGCGCCCATGTACTTTTTATTTTATTTTTTATTTTTAAAAAATTTGTTTAAATTTTTTAAGACTTGATTATTATAAACTATTTAATATTTTAATAGTTAATACTAAAGTATTAAATATTAACCTAAAAACATCTAGGTTTAAACAATTTAGGTTTATTATGCTCAAAACGATGTCGTTTTGAGTGAAATAACTCATTTAAAAGATAAGGCAACAATAGCTAATCGACCAACTAGGCGACCTAGTCAATGTCTAGGCAGCCTCGTCGGTGCCTGGGAAGCCTAGTTGGCTCCTAGGAGGTCTAGGAGGTCAGCGCCTAGGCTGCCTAGACAACGCTTAGGTGGCCTAGTCAATCGCCTAAAATACCGATTATGGTGATACGCTAAGCAACAGGCTAGCGCTTAGCGCCTAGGTGCCGATTAATATGTGGCCTAAGCAAAATTTTTGTAACACTGCATCGCATACATCACTGGGCAAGTAAGAAATGGATGAGTAAACATGCAAGTTAGTTAAATTTCTTGTAGCTTAGTTTTTAAATCTTTTATATTAGTTACGGAAGTGAAAAATACAATTTTAATTTCCCAATTATTACCGTTTTTTTTTTGAAACAAAAAATATCATATATTAATTTGAAGTCGATTCATTACAAAAGGACGCACTCATAAAATGAGGAATAGAATGAATAAACACATGTCTTTCAAGATCTGTATAACTAAGAGCTTTCTTTGCTAGCTGATGGGCCATCTCATTCTTTGTTCGTCTCACATATCGAAACTCCACCATCGGCATTTGATTAAGAAGCGTCCGAATATCCTACATGATGGAACCAAACGGTGATAAATTCACATCCCCCGAAACAGCATTCGTCACCACTTGGGAATCCGTCTCCAGAATAACTCTATTCCACCCCATTTCTTTAATCCAACTTAAAGCCTCCCGTGCTCCCATTGCTTCAGCTTCTTTAACCAAAAACAGCCCCTTCTGGACAAACATTACTACTCCCAGCAGCCTCCCTTCCCCATCCTGAGCACTCCAACCAAAACCCATTCGACAATTGTTCATGTCCATAGCCACATCAATATTCACCCGCACCCCTTCATGTGGTACCCACCTAGGAAGCTCCCCCGGAGACCCCTGCAAAGATCTTCTCATTATCAAATCGTCCTTCTCCCTTGCTTCCTTCCAGTTCCTAGCATAAATCAGAGCGGCCTGCACAATTGCCCTTGAATTAGAATTTTTCTGTTGCCAAACCAACGCATTACGCGCTTCCCATATTGCCCAAGTCACCATAACAACCTGCTCAAGCATTTTAACCGGTAAAACAGTCCACATTTCTTCAATCCAAATAGCAACAGAATCAGCATAACACATTATCCATTCAGCATTTAAATGATTCCAACAAGCATGAGCAAAATCACAGTTTGCAAATAAATGAATACTGCTCTCATTAGCCCTTCCACACATCACACAAATGGGATCACACTGAACTCGTTTGATCACTAAGGCATCTTTAGTCGGGAGACACATAGTACACAGGTTCCAAAAGAAACATTTTACTTTTGGTGGGATCTTCAACCTCCAAAGCCCCTTCCAAATCACCCCCTCTCCTTCCCCCATGTTCCCCACCGCAATCCTATAAGCACTACGGACCGAGTAAACCCCATTTTGCTCTCCCTGCCAGTAAAGTGAATCGCAAGCCCACTCATTTGCAAGAGGAATACTTTGAATAAGGTTCACATCCCGCTCACAAAAAATATCATCTAACACTTCCCGATCCCACTCCCTAGAATTTACACATATTAGCGAGTTCACCGTAGGGTTCCCTAAATACTCGATAGGCAAGGATTCAACATAAGGTTTTGTATCACTTGGTAGCCATGGATCACCCTATATTTTAATAGTCTCACCATTTCCCACCCTCCATCGGACACCCCCTCCCACCACAGCTTGCGCTTCCTGGATACTAGACCAAACAAAAGAGGGATTGGACCCTCTTTTTACCTCCAAAAAAGAACAATTTGGAAAGTATCTTGCCTTAAAGATTTTTGTCACCAAAGCCTCAGGTTTATTTAGAAAATTCCATCCCTGCTTATCTAGCATTGCAAGATTCATCTCTCGTACTCTACGAAACCCCATTCCCCCAAACTGTTTTGGCACACACAAATCTTTCCATTGGCTCCACCTTATTCCCCCTCGTTTCCTCCTCTCGCACCCCCACCAAAAGGAGTTCATAATCCTTTCTATTTCTTCACTCAGCCCCTTTGGAAGTAGGAAAACATTCATAGCATAGTTAGGGATACTCTGGAGGACAGTTTTCAGAAGAACTTCCCTCCCCCCTTGATAAAAAACGGTTTCCCCAATGCATAACCCGCGCCCTCAATCTCTCTCGCACAAACCCCAGAATTTCCCTCTTCTTCCTTCCTACATAACCCGGCAAGCCCAGGTATTTCCCATGCCCTAGCTGTTCCCGAATCCCCAAGGACTCGCAAACAGCCTCCTTATCCTCCTGGTGTACATTTCGGCCAAAGACAATCGATGTCTTCCCCACATTTACCTCCTGTCCACTTGCCCTTCCATAATCAGTTAAAACATCATGAAGGACCTCCGCCTCAAACCTATTTGCTTTAAACAAAAACAAGCAATCGTCTACAAAAAATAAATGAGATACACCCGGAGCACCCCTTGCTACCCTCAGCCCATGCAACATCCCCTCCTCCTCCCGAGCTCTCAACATGGCACTCAAACATTCCGCTACCAAAATGAAAAGGTACGGTGATAACGGGTCCCCCTGCCTCAAACCCCTCCCCGGTGTCACAGGCCCCCACTCCTTTCCCTCCACCAGAATAGAATAACGCACTGTAGTCACACACTCCCTTATCAAATCCCGAAAGCCCATTTTCAGAAGAACCTGACACAAGAAATCCCACTCAACCCTGTCATAGGCCTTACTCATATCAACTTTTAGTGCACCATTACCCCCCCCCCCCGCTCCCCAGGTTTGCGTTTCAAACAGTGGGCTGACTCAAAAGCAATCAAGACATTATCAACAATACACCTTCCCGGAATAAAAGCACTCTGTGCTGGGGATACAATAGAATCTAACAAACCTCGCAGCCTAGTGGCCAGAACTTTGGCAAGGATTCTATACACAACGTTACACAAGGCAATAGGGCGAAAATCAGACATTTGATCAGGGGATTTGCATTTAAGAATTAGAACAATGTGAGTATCATTTATATAATCAGGCAGCGAACCCGTGATCATAAAAAGATGGCACAAAGAAACTACCTCAGGGCCGATGGTAGACCAGTGAGTCTGGAAGAAACCCGAGGAGAGACCATCAGGGCCTGGATGCATTGCAAAGAGGGCACCCTTCACTTCCTCCGCAGTAACAGTTCTTAAAAGCATGTCATTCTGATTGTCATCAAACCGCCTAGTCAAGCAAGTTAGAACCGGTCCCATATCCCCTTGGGCAGATGTAAACAGATTCGAGAAGTAATTCACCATGATCCCCCCCATTTTGTGTGGTTCGTCGAAAAACACCCCTGCCTCGTTTCGAAGCCCTCGAATTCTATTCCGCCTCCTCATCCCATTTACAGAATTGTGAAAAAATCTTGTATTGTTATCCCCCCCCCCCCCCCCTATACCAAAGCTCTTTCGCCCTCTGTTGCAGACTATCACTCTGATCCCGAAGAATATCAAAATAGCGTTTTTGACATTCCCCAAATTTTCTCACGCTCGCTTCATCACGCCTATCCCTCAACCTCCCCATTTCCCCTTGACAATACCGAATGGCCTCCCTCTCCCCGGCTTTCTGTTTCTTTCCCCAATTCCACACTTCTCTGCTGCACTCCCTCAATCTCTCCCCCATAGGCAGCCCTTGAGAGCGTAGCCACTCCCTCTCTACTACCCCGCTACAATCAGGATTCCTTTCCCAACAGTTTTCGTACCTAGGCTTTCTTGTATAAGAAAACTGATTTCCAACATCTACCGTTAAGAATATCGGTAAATGGTCACTCGTACTTCCGTCCAGAGACCTGGCACTCACTCGTAGGAACATATCTCGCCACCCATCAGAAACCAAGACACGGTCGAGCTTTTCCCTCACCCATCTGTCCGTCCCCCTTCCCCTCTCCCAAGTAAATTGACATCCCCCAAAACCAAAGTCGAATAAACCACTTTCGTTCACTGCCTCCCCAAAACCCCTTAGAAGCCATCTTGGATGAGGAACCCTACCTTCCTTCTCCCAATCCCCAATTATGTCATTGAAATCCCCAAAGAGAGCCCACGGGAGATTATTGATCGAAGATAAATACCTGAGGAGATTCCACGACTCCCTTCGGCGACTCCATTCCGGATTTCCATAGTATCCCGTGAGTCTCCATCGTGTAAACCCCTCCTTGCCCGTAACTATCGAGTCGATGTAATGATTAGAGTATCCCCGAACTTCGACATCAATACCCGAGTTCCACAAAAGGGCCAGGCCCCCACGTCCTTCATCAGCATCTACTACGAAACAATTGTCAAACCTTAATTTAACCCTCACTTGCTCCAAACGCCTTGCATCAGCCTTAGTTTCACAAAGAAAAATAACATTGGGCCGTCTTTGATAGACCAAGCCCATTAGAAACTGAATTGCCAATGGGTTTCCAAGCCCACGGCAGTTCCAACTTAAGAGATTCATTGGGCCGGGTGGGCCTGGTGTCCAGGACCCACCTCACAAGAAAAGGAGTCTTGCTGCTCAATAGTCATCGGGCTTGACCAAGAAACATTTGTATCGTCCGTTTCAATATCAGTTCTTCTTCTCTTTGACTCCAAAATAATCACCCCCTCATTTTCCTCACCACCATTTATTACCCCCATTACTCCAGCACTCCCCTTATCACCCCCACTCCCCTCATTTCCCGCCTTCCCCACCTCCCTTCTTAAACTATGTAACGGATGCCCCATTAAGTTCCCCTCATTATTTCCATCAACCTCTTGAGCCGTTTCATGACCCCCCTTCTGACCTTCCTAGGAAGGAAACAAGCACAAATATCAAAAGGCACTCACAAGGAGAAAGGGAAAACACTCAGAAACGAGAGAGAAAAAAACTGTATAAGTCCAATTATTACCGTTTAGCTAGTGATGTTAATTAACCCTTGGCAATTGCCGACAATAAACTTAGTGGCAAATTACGTTGTGAACCTGGTCCACCTTGCAAGGTGGACCTGGATTTAAAATTACATAATTTATATATTAAATTTTCACAATTTACATATACTGAATGATCATAATTTTTATATACTAAATATTCAATATTTACACATTGAGTATTTACATTTTTATATATTAAATGTTCACAATTTACATATTGAATGTTTATAATTTTATATACTAAATGTTCATAATTTACATATTTTATGTTCATAATTCAAATTGTGAATATACAATATGAAAATTGTGACCATTTAATATATAAATTGTGAATTTTGACCTAAGTCTACTTTGTAAGGTGGACCCAAGTCTATGGCATTAGTATTGAAAGTTTGAAACAATGTAGCCGAATATGTGCAACTTTAGTGCATTTGCTAACTTTTTCCGTGACCCGCTATTAGTTGTGGGCCTATGGCTTGATTTCTAAGTTGGCATGTGACTCCTTGTGCTTAAGGGTGGAAATCGCAAACGATGCTGTGGACTCGTGTCCACAATGCATTGTGAACACGAGTCCAAAACAACGTCGTTTTCATGGAAAACGCGGCATTTCAGTTAAAAAAAAAATTGATTTTGTCTAGGCATTAACGGCGTTATTCGTTTGTGGTATTATGAATGTACAGTTATGAAATTATGAATGTACAGTTATGGAATTATGAATGTAAGTTATAGAATTATGAACACAGAGTTATGACATTATGAACTTACAATTATGAACATATAGTGATAAAATTATGAACATAGAGCTTCAAAAATTATGAATGTACAGTTATGGAATTATGAATGTACAATTAGGGAATTATGAATGTACAGTTATAGAATTATGAATGTGCAGTTATGGAATTATGAATGCACAGTTATGGAATTATGAACACAGAGCTCTGACATTATGAACTTACAATATGAACATATAGTGATAAAATTATGAACATAGAGCTCTAAAATTGTGAACATAGAGTTTCAAAAATTATGAATTTACAGTTATTGAATTATAAATGTACAGTTACGGAATTATGAATGTACAGTTATGGAAGTATGAATGTACAATTATGGAATTATGAACATAGAGTTCTGACATTATGAACATATAGTGATAAAATTATGAACATATACTCCTATAACGAAGCGGTCTGAAATTAAATAAATAAATAAAATAAAATAAAAAAAGTGAAAGATAACGGTGCCACTAACGGCACCGTTACCGTGTCCAGCATGCATGCTGGACACGAGTCCATAACATAACGATTGGGTGAAAATAGGCTAGGCCGAGTCGGGTTTTAGAAAATTAGGCTTGGGTCTGTTAGAAAAATCTAAAGCCTTTGGCCTGGGCATGTATGTAGGCTTTTTTTTAGCCTCAAGTCTGAGTTTGCAGTTGACATAGCCTGATCTGAAGCCTTTTTAAAAGCATTTTTTTTTTTTTGAAAGGAGCCTGTATAGCATTTATTGGAAATAAGCTGAAATAGAGTCTGGCGGACCAGAGTCCGAATACATAGTAGCAAACTGATTAAAAGCGGTAGATGCTAAAGTATGAGCTAAGTAATTATCTGATCTAGGAATAAAACGGAGCAAACAGTAATCAAAGGAAATCATACGGTTTCTGCAAGTATCAATAGCATAGCCAAGATACGAGCGAGGCGAACCCCTGGTAAGTGATAAATATTGTTGAAGTATTAAACAGTCCGTTAAGAGGTCTACCGATCGTTCTCCTCGATCCCATAGCCAGGACAAAACTTCTTTGCATGCAAACGCTTCTGCCATAAGAGGGGAGAAACAGTCTATCATGGGTGCCTGTAGAGCTGAGATATACATTCCTTGTCCGTCGAGGAGGATTGCCCCTACGGCTGCTTTGTTCGTCTGATGGCAATAGGCCGCATCAAAATAACATTGAATCCGCATGCCACCATGGCCTTCGGGCAGTGATGAGGTCATATGGTTCAATCTCAGCATGGCAGAAGGCGCACGGCTTAGAGGCACCGCTATAGTGGTTTCTGCATTGTCGGCAGTAGCCAATTGGGCGTGGGTGGCATCCATCGTGGCAGTCCCGGACTGGTGCATTCGGTTGGGGTGTGCAAGCTGCCACGCCTGGACCGCCGTGGTTACAATAGCAATTATCTTCTGAGGTCTGGGTAAGTATGCATCCCATACAGCTCCATTTCTTGCTCGCCATATATAAAATAGTAGTGCCACTGCATAAATAATTTCATTATCATCTAGAACATTCAATATTTCATTAAACCAATCATGAAAAATATTTGTGACACTATTGGGGATTGGAAGGTGAGATTGAGCCCAAATGTTCATTGTATAATCACATCTCACCAACGATTGCATAGTATCCTCATGCATGATCCCACACATAGCACAAGTTGGATCAATTTCCACTCTCTTTATAATCAGGTTCTTCGTAGTGGGTAATATATCATTCAAGGCTCTCCATAGAAATGTCTTCCATTTTGGGGGTACTTTGAGTTTCCATAACTTGGGCCATTTATCAAAAACCCTGTTGACTGAACATAATTTCCAACTATTCGTCTGTAACCACTTTTGACCGAGTATTCACCCCTTGGGTCTCCATACCAATACCACATATCCTCATAATCCGGTGACACATGTATCTTTAATATTTGTGTCACATCAGTTGGAATAAAAATATTTGTTAGGATATCATGGTCCCATGTTCTCGTCCTGATCCATTAAACCCATAACTGTTGCTTGTGCCAACTGTGGTGGTTTTCCAGTAATTATTTTTGCATTGTGCTCATCGTGAAGCCATAGGTGATCCCATATCAGGGTTGACTTTCCATCCCCAATTCTGCACCTAACCCCTCCACAAATTAATTCCTGTGCAGCCATGATACTACGCCAACAGAAACTTGGGTTATTCCCTAAATGTGCACCAAAAAAAGATCCTTTAGGATAATACCTGGCTTTATATACTCTTGACACCAATGATTCAGGCTTCGTAAGAAACCGCCAGGCCTGCTTCCCCAACATAGCTAGATTAAAGGCACGTAACTCTTTAAAGCCCAATCCCCCATACTTTTTAGGAATACACAATTTATCCCACACTTTCCAGTGGATGCCCTGGTCATCTTTAGATCTCCACCAATAACGGTTCATGGTTCTCTCAATAGTTGTGCAAACATTCATAGGAAATAAAAAGACACTCATTGAAAAGGTGGGCATAGATTGTGCCACACTTTTCAACAAAACCTCCTTACCTGCCTGCGATAGTAACTTCTTGTTCCATGACCCATTCTTTGCCTAAACTTATCCTCAATATATGAGAATGCTGCTTTCCGATTCCTGCCCACAAATGATGGAAGCCCTAGATACTTCCCAAAATTTGGAGCCTGCACCACCCCCAAAATATTGGCTACCTCTTCCCTGTCATCATCTCGTGTATTCTTACTATAGCATATACTTGATTTATGGTAATTCACCGCCTGCCCAGACATTTCTTCATACACTGATAAACAATGCTTTATCACCTCAGCCTCCTGGACATTTGCTTTAAATAAGAGTAAACTATCATCTGCAAAGAATAGATGGGAAATAGAGGGGGCCCCTCTAGCTACTCTACAGCCATGTATTTCTCCCCTCAACTGCGCCTGCTGTAAAAATAATGAAAGCCCCTCAGCACAAATAATAAAGAGATAGGGAGACAGTGGGTCACCTTGCCTCAAACCTCGAGTTGGATTGATTTGCTCACTTCGTGCACCATTTACAAATACACTATACGACACTGAGGTTACACATAACATTATCAACTCCACCCATCTACCATCAAATCCCAGAGCTAGCAGCATATTACGCAAAAAGGGCCACTCCATCCAGTCATAGGCTTTTGCCATATCCAGTTTCAAAGCCCCCATCCTGCGATTCCACACTGTTTCCTGTTCAAAAAGTGACCTACTTCGGCAGCAATCAAAATATTATCCGTTATTAGTCTGTCAGATATAAAATCGCTCTTGGTGTCAGATATAATATCCCCCATTAACGGCTTCATTCTGGCTGTTATGACTTTAGTCATAATTCTGTAGATCACATTACTTAAAGCTATTGGTCTAAAGTTTGATACCAATTCTGGGTTCTTCTTCTTGGGGATCAAAATTATGTTCGTATCATTCAAACTAGTGGGAAAAGAACGAGCATTAGGACAATTCACAATATAAGTTGACACATCACCCCCCACTACATCCCAGAAGTGCTGATAGAAAACCCGGATTCATTCCATCCGGCCCTGGCGCTTTATCAGGAAACATAAAAGACAGTGCAGTTTTTACCTCAGTAAGATCAAAGGGGTGTAAGAGTGCCTCATTCTGTACCCGTGTTACACGTGGGCGTATACTTTCAAAGAAACCCTCATTAACATCAGGAGAACTAGAAGTAAATATATAACGGTAGTAGTTCAAGATCACATTCCTCATGGTTTCTCCCTCAACCCAATCCCCACTCCCACTCATAATTTTAACAATAGTATTCTTTTTCTTGCGATGAGAGGCATACCTGTGGTAAAATTTCATGTTTGCATCCGCGTCCTTGAGCCAATGCTGCTTGGCCCTCTGCCTCCAGTACACATCTTCCTGAGTTTCAATACGAGTCAGGCACTCCTCTAACAGTTGAAATTCAGCCAATGAAGCCGGGTCAGTACACCCCCTCAAACGTAACTGTTCCTTCCGTAGGTTCTTTATTCGCTCACCAAATTTATGGAACCGATCTCCACCCTAGCGCGCTAATCGATTCCCACAAAAAAGAAATACATTCCTGCAAGCCTCTATCTCTTCCTTCATCCCATGACTTTTCCGCCACACCTCTGCACCCCTCATCATGCAGCCATGCCATCTCAAAACGAAACCCTCTTCTCAGACCACCCCTCCTTTCCCGAGGATTCAGAATCCCAAGGAAAACAGCAGAATGATCCGACTTTCGGGTCAGTATATTCTGCACACTGGCATCAGGTACTTTCTCCCGCCAACTCTGGGTAACCAAAAGCTTGTCTAATCTTTCCTCAATCCAGTTCGGTGTGCCTTTCCCCTTTTCCCAAGTAAACGAATATCAAGTCATTGGCATCTGCGCTAAACCACAATCCTCAATAGTCTCCCCAAAGCCATGAAGTAGACTGTCCAGATGGGGATTTCCTCCTCGCTTTTCATATTGAAACAATAGATCATTAAAGTCTCCAATCATTACCCACGGTAGATCTGACTTGTTAGCTAACGAACGAATAAGGTCCCAAGAGTCTCTCCGTTGGCCTTGCTGCGAGAAGCCATAGAAACCCGTCATCCTCCACTTATCAAATCCCGGCATACTTACTTCAACATCTACATGATTTTTGGAGTAACTTATCAAGCTTGCTTTATTATTTGCTCTCCACAACAGAGCTAAACCTCCACTCAATCCAGAACTATCAATACAAAAGAGACCATCGAACCCAAGTTTAATCCGAAGTCGTTCTGCGTGATCTCGGTTAACCTTGGTTTCTATATTTAATAAATAGGCTTTTAAAAAGGCTTCAAAGTAAGGTAATTTATATCATGCACCACGGCGCGCGTTGCATTGTGCGCCCAGATGCAAAATGACGTCATTTCTTTTTTTTTTTTTTTCTTTTTGAAATTTCGTTACCCAGTGTTTGGCAGTTAATTTTCCTTTTAAAAAAAATCTCATGTTCAAAAATGTACATAATGTTATACTAGAATACACATAATTGTATACATGAATGTACATAATTATATAACAAAATACACATTCTTTTTTAAAAGATAATACACATAATCTAACATAATACATAATAAACATAAACTTTTAACATAATACACATCAACTCTTAACATAATATACAAAAATTTCCTGATTCGGAGGTACATGACTGTATAAAAAAATGTACATAATTATATAAAAAAATGTACATAATAAAAAATATACATAATTGTATAAACAAATATACATAATCATGTCAACTTCCTATCGCGTCTCCCAAAACGACGTCATTTTGGGAGGCGCGAGGCGCACAGTGCACTGTGCGCCGTGGTACAGGGTATAACGATTGTCAAAATAGGTCCTAAATAGGCTTTTAGCCTATGTAAGGTCTACATTTTAAAGCCTTTTAATATATACATGTTAAAAATAATCATATTATTAAATTACAATCAACCCGGTTAGGTAATTATATATACTTGGGGTTATATTGTAAATATAAAAATATATTAGGTATAAAATAGAAATATATATATATATATATATATATATATATATATATATATATATATATATATATATAAGGTCTGCAGGCCTGAAGGCCGAGCCTAGTATATATAGGCCTGGCCTGTTTAGTTTAATAGGCTTTGAAATTAACCTAAGTCTGGTCTTTTTGCTAAACAGGATAGGCCCGCAAATTATGCTGTGGACTCGTGTCCACCATGCATTGTCGACACGAGTCCAAAACGACGTCATTTTAAGGGAAAACGCGGCCTTCCAGTTAAAAAAAAAATAACAATTTGATTTTGTCCCGTTAACGACGCTATTCGTTTGTGGCATTATGAATGTACAGTTATGCAATTATGAATGTACAGTTATGGAATTATGAATGTAAGTTATGGAATTATGAACGCAAAACTCTGACAATATGAACTTACAGTTATGAACATATAGTGATGAAATTATGAATATTGATAAACATTATTTTTGTTGTTATTTTTAATAAGTTTTTATAGTTAAGTTGTAAATAATTGATTAATTCTTATCTATTTTTATTTATTATTTCTACAATTAGTTTTTAATAATATTATTTAATTTTATGTTGTTTTAATTATTAAATTGGTTATATTATTTGAATTATGTCAGTTTAATAATTCTTTGATCTTAATTTAATAATAATATTATTAATTTTAGTAGTACATGTTGAGTAGGAGATTAGTTATATTATTATTATTATTATTATTATTATTATTATTATTATTATTATGATGATGATGTTAGTTTAGTGGTAAAATAAGTTAGTCAATCCCCAAATAATAGCCGTCAACAGCACTTGGCGACAGATGCGGAGAGAAAAGAAGGACGGAAGAGAACGATCGCAATGCAATGCAATTCCGACTTCTCGTTAAATTCAAGTTTATTCCCTTCTAATTATTTCCAAATTTATTAAATTGCATCGTACAATTTCCTGTGGGTTCGACCCTTGCTCTGCACGCTATTACTACAGTGACTCGTGCACTTGCGAGGACATTATAATCAAAATTGTCCATCAAATATAGAGCTCTAAAATTGTGAACATAGAGTTTCGAAAATTATGAATTTACAGTTATTGAATTATGAATGTACAGTTACGGAATTATGAATGTACAGTTATGGAATTATGAATGTACAGTTATCCAATTATGAACACAGAGCTCTGACATTATGAACTTACAATTATGAACATATAGTGATAAAATTATGAACATATACTCCTATAACAAAGTGGTCTGAAATTTAAAAAAAAAAAAAAAAAAAAAAAAAAAAAAAAAAAAAAGTGAAAGAGAACGGTGCCACTAACGGCACCGTTACCGTATCCAGCATGCATGCTGGACACGGGTCCATAGCATAACGATTGAGATAGGTCTAATTAGGCCTTAATTAGGCCAGGACATAGGCCCCTATAAGGGACCTGGCCTATTCCCACCCCTACTTGTGCTCATAAATTGGACCATGTTAGAAGTGGCTATCAGACTTCCAATAGGAGAATAAGTCCAAGTGGTCACACATCAGTTGTTATACCATGAGCCAAGGTTCATTTTGCAAGATAGACTTTAGTCTTAAATTATGTATTTTTAGTATTGAAATTGTGAACTTCTAAAAAATACAAATTGTGTTTCTAAGTTTTGAAAATTTGTGAATACAATACAAAATTATAACAAATTATGAAATTTTAAAAGGTAAATTGTGAACATTTAATATGTAAATTGTGTATCTTTGAATAGCATGTCCACCAAATAATTTGCCGTCACCCATATTGCCTATTGGGGATATATACTATGCTTACATCATCTTGGGTTCTTAAAGATGCTTTTTATGTTTTCTAGTTTCAGTTCCAACCTCATATATATTTTGTTAACAAACTTATCAAATCTGCAAATTACTGACTCACTTTTACTCTGAATGTTGGGTTATACAGAGAACCAGTTGCTGCTTATTATTGATTTGGTTGAGAGCAAGTTAGAGGACTTTAATTACCTCCTTAACCAAACAAACCCTGGGTCGGTAAAAATTTACAAGTTACCATTATAATATTTTTAAAAGAGTTAATTTTCAAAATATCCTCCGAATATGGTCTTTTTTCAAATTGATCATTTGACTCTTAATTTCTCCAAAATAGTTTTCCGACTTTTGAATTTTAAGTTAAAATGGTCTTCCGTTAGTTTTGGTGTTAAGTTGGTGTTAAAATGAAGGGTAAAACTGTAAATTTAGATTTTGCATTCCAATTTAAAGCAATCTGTGATTCTTTTCAGTAGTCTGTGTGCATATTTTTTTCAAATTAGGTTTTTGCTCTCCTAAATCTGCAATCAAAATGTGTATAATCAACTAGAAGGCCAGAAATCTTTACCTTGAAAAGTTTATGGATGAAATTGAAGATAAACTTTTTTAGCCTTCTAGTTGATTATCCATAAACATGCGCTTGGGAGCCATCACTCAAAAACTTGGAGTGCAAAACTCAAAAAGGTATGTCATGAATGGGCATCTTGACAGTTGATCAGATCCAAATGGTAATCGTTTGCTCACTACGCACTTGAGAGGTTGTGTTGGTGAGACTTGTATTTTTAGTCTCTTATGACAAATTTTACGTATGTAACTAATTGAACTGTCCATGCAAGTTAAGAGTGCCGTCCATGCGAGC